CGGCGGCGGGGAGGTGGGCGCCTGTGGTCCCACACCCTTGGTTGGGTGATAAGAGCTGGAGCAGGGGCACTCGCATGCTGTCCCACAGTGTGTGTCAGCTCCTCTCTCCTCTCGTATCCCCCCTGGGAAGTTGGGCAGCGATCTGAGCAGTGACCACTGCAGCCCTCTGGGCCTGGTGGGACAGGGGGGTCAGGTGGGTTGTACAAAAAGCAACAAGCAGGAGGACATCTCCAAGGTCTTACCAGGTCCCCTCTGCTGAGAGAAGGAGCTTGCCCTTCATGCTTGTAGTGCTGGTGTTCAAACCCCTCCACCCTTTAAGCCTGTATGCAAATGCTGGGTGTCCCCCCCCTCCCCTGTCATCATGACACCGCAGGAAGAAGCGAGCGCACCTTGTGAAAAAGCGGGCACTCTGCAGCGCAAGATTTCTTGTCTCCCCAGATGAGGCTGATGAACTGGAGCACTTGGTGACATCGCGGACAGAATCTGTGAACATCGACCACCCAAACCACATTGTAACAGTGACCACCATCAGCGACCTGGACCTTTCAGGGCCACGCCAGCTGGGACTGACCACCCCTGCGGTAAAACCTCTTGCTACCTCTCTGATTGTATCAGCCATAAACATTCTTAGGGCTGGCTAGGTAGGGCTGGTACTCCCTGGATATGCCCAAAGACTGGGAGCAGGGGTGAAAAGGGAAACTCATAACTTTCACATTCTTCTACAACGTATGTTGAGTCTCTAAAGAGAAAGAAATGTCCTATGTGAACAGCTTACTCTAAAGCTCCCTGGAATCTTCTGCTAGTCCAAACTGACCTTGTGTAAGTGAAAGGTGTCACAAGGCTGGATGGCAGGAATGTAGTATTTTAAAAGCCAATACAACACAAGCAGCAGGATGTCAGACTTTGCTGCATTGGGCTATCGGCAGCCTCTTTCCTGTACAGGAAAAATTACTATTAGCATGAGGAGGGATTTCTCTCTCTCTATGATTCTGTGCTTGGACCACAAATAAGGAAACCATTCAGTTCTGGTTGTGGTTGCTTTCATTCTCAGAACATATTGTAACTGAGATATCATATTTGTTTCATAGGGGCTTTCAGGCACTGGTTGACTTGATCCTTTTGATCTTCATGAGTCATGGCTGGATTTGAGCTCTTTGGGGAAGTGTCTGAGTTAACCTTTTACGTTTGTAAGGTCACCTTCTGATCTGAAAATGCACTTAAAGAAGTTTTGCTGGTAATTTAAGAAAAAAGCGGAAACCTTCAGTTCCTAGTTTAGACTTCAATTTTATGGCCATTCAGATTGTGTTGAAATTTTTGGATCTTAGGGTGGATTACTGTAGGACTTCTCGCTGGTTGTCCCTTTCTGAGGGGCTGCGATAAGAAACCTTGAGATTTGGACAGCAAGGAGAATTAAAAAACTTCATCTGTGACTAGTTGCTTCACAAAACAGGATGAAACCAAGAAGGCAGCAGAAACACTGGAATCACAAAACTGCCTGTTTTAATGTGTCTATAGTGGTGAGGTTTTTTTGCTCTTTTTTACCTCCTTTTTAAGGGAAAAAATGATGAATCAGAAGAAGAGAAAGGGGAAGAGGTGGTGAACAAGCCTGTAAGAACAATGCCCAAGAAGTCCAGAAACCCCTTCCTGTCTGAAAAGTATGTATAAATTCATTCAACTCTCTGCTGCTAGGTTCTGCAAGCTGATCAGGGAGGTCTTTCTTTCCCCCCAGATCAGCAGTGGGGTTGCAGGGAGGGGATGCCGCGCTGCCTGGGCACCAGTGGGCAGAAGCCAGCAGAGGGCACTGGCAGAGCACAGGCCTGCCCCGCACGCTCCATTCCCATCATGTTGATCCCTGGTGACAGCAGCAGCAGCAAGAGGAGGAGGAGGAGGAGGATGTAGTGCAGGGCGGGCTTTGTCCTCAACTGTTTACCAGGTCCTTTTTGGCAGATATTGCAGGGAAGGGTGTATTGCGGGGTGCAGAGTTCATCTCTAGGTTTGAAGGTCAAAAGACCCTAGAGCTTAAAGCTTTGGCATTCTCCGCATTTTTCAGTATCCAGGACTTATGACTGCTTTGAGGGTGCAGAGAATTACTTAACTCCGTGGTGGCTGGACAGCCCACTGTGCAGAAAATTCGTTTTGGTTGTTATTGTACACGTAGACTTGCAGGTTTCCTGCCCTGTCAGGATGAGGCCCAGCACAAGTGGGGCTTG